GCATTGTTAGATCTAGGTTGCAAGCTGGATCTGGTATGAAAAAGGGTTGTAATGTGTTAGTACCAGAAAATAAATTCGGAGACACTCAAAACACAAGGGTGCTCAAAAATCCTAGATGATCGAGAGAAGTTTCTAAAGAAGGTATACAAAGCTTGAAGAGAATCAGGAGATACGCGAAGACAGTTTTCGCGAAACTCTTGAAATCGTCGAACCAGGAAGGGTGCTGCTCAGGAAAAGGGCTCACAGCCTAGCAACCTCTCAAAGTACAAGCAGAATCAGGAAACATTCAAGTATAGTTTTCGTTGGTTACTCGAAATTCCAAGAATCCGGACATATACGAATACACTTCATAACCTCTCAGAATGGAGAACATAAAGGAGACACGAATTAGGAGTGGTTGAAGTAACATGGGATAAGTGTCAAAGGCTGAAGAACGGTTTGGGGAAGTTAACGAGCCGTTCCAAGAATTATCCAGAGACGGGCCCGGGAGCAGGCCACTACGTGGAAGTTTAGAACGGTTATGCACTTCCGGGGTGCGTCAGAAACAGTTATTTTTTCCCAAATCTTTGTCTATAAATTAAACGAGCCATGCTCGTAGCAAAAGATCAGAAATCTAATTCCCACAATACCTCACACGCACTCCGCAACCTGTGCATAAGGCATATTATGCATACAAGACAACTTTGGGTACGATTTCTCGACCACCTTTCTTTTTCCTTTTTAAGGAGTAGCATAGCATAGCATAGCATAGCATAGCATAGCATAGCATAATCTAGTCTAGTGTAGTGTAGTTATTCTGAACATGTTTCGTTATCCTTACGAATTGTAATTCTGTTACCATTTAATGAAGGATATGATTTCTGTAGTCAATATACATGTCATCTGTTCGATTCCCGTTAATTCTTACATGCATGAATTTGATTGTACAATTAGCATAGATCTTTTGATGTGCTGAAACAAGCATAGATCTTCTGACGTGTTAAAAACTAGCATAGATCTTCTGACGTGCTTGAAACATGAGCATAGATCTTCTGATGTGCTAAAACCAGCATAGATCTTCTGAAGTGCTTGAAACAAAGGGCATAGATCTTCTGACGTGCTGAAACAACACCCTAATTTGACTCTATTCGTTGTTTGTACGAATTTATTCTTTCACCGAAAGTCTTCGATTCTGTCATGTCACGAACACGCATAAATTGAAACGTGAACTCGTGCTAGTTCGAACAAAAAGAACCTACGAACGAAATCCTCCACAAACAAATTGGCACGCCCGGTGGGACTCGTTTGGTGAGCTTAATCAAACTAATTGAACTAGTTTTGTGTGTGTTTAATTTTTATGAGACTTAGAAGTGGGAGAAATATGTCTACATCCAGCAGAAGAGATGCACTTAATGAAGAACATGGTAATGGAGAAAATCAGAATACAAATCAAGAGAATGTGCCAAATGAGACGAAGGGGGCAATGTCTCCACCTCTTGTAAATATTCCGAACTCCGCGAGATTTCTGAATGCGTCACAAGAAATGGTGAACGCTACCCGCGAATACCCATGGGGGATGCCTCCGAATTGGAGAAGTACCCAGCCCATGAGCGTAGAAATGCCAATACCATATTCTGGGCACAATCCTCAAATGCAAATATCATCATATGGGTATAATGCAGCCCCAAATGGGATGGGCTTTATCATGCACGATCCTCACCAGCATGTTGGCACAAGCCAAGAAGGGTCGTTGGTTCGACAAAGTAATTATATACCCACGGGTATAAGCAATGAAGCCATGATAGCCCTTCGACAACAAATGGATCATAGTAACCACGATATGGTGAATTTGTTGTCTACACAAATGCACAACATACTCACACCCCTATACGAGCTGATGGGAAAAATAGGAGATAAAATTAATGATAATCGGCTCTCGAGAGATACGAGTGTAAATCTGAACGGCCTCGAAAATCCAACCGTCAATGAGACGAATATTCGAGAGATTAGAAATCGTATCAATCTCAATCAAGGGGGACCTCTGAGAAATGTCGAGGAAAATTTGGATCATATAGTTGAGAGGGTACTGAACAGGCACGGATTTGAAACGGGGCGAAATGAGCACCCATACTTTGTATCTGCCTTTCCTGACTATATTACCCAATCCGAGCTACCCAGGGGGATGAAAGTCCCAAAATTCTCGAAATTTTCAGGAGAGTTAGGTGAATCCACCGTAGAACACATAGCGAGATATCTAGTCGAGTGTGGAGACCTAGTGGGTAATGAATATTTGAAAATGAAATATTTTCCAAGTTCACTAACCAAACATGCTTTTACGTGGTTTACGACTTTGCCACCTAATTCGATTATTACTTGGGCACAACTAGAAAGGAGTTTCCACGAAAACTTTTTTCGAGAGGAAACCAAGGTGAGCATAGTTGATTTGATGAATATAAAGAGGCAACATCATGAGACGTTGGACGAATATTTGAATAGATTTAGACAATTAAAGTCTCGATGTTACACGAATATTCCAGAGCATGAGTTGGTAAAAATTGCAACCACTGGGTTGGATTTTCTGATTCGAAAGAAACTTGTAAATGAACAATTGAGAGATATGGCTCAACTAGCAGAGAAAGTGAGACAAATTGAACAAATTCGAGTAGAGAAAGAAAGGTTGAGAAAATTTGACAAGTTCGTTCGAAAAGAAAAAGTGGCATATTTAGACAATATGGACGTTAACGATGATCATTTCGAATGTCTAAATGAAGAAATGGAAGTGAACTTAGCTGAATTGCAACCCGGGCCAACCTATCAATGCCAGTTATTAAAACCTGGGGAAAATAATATAGAGGAGGCCCGATCGAATAGAAAATATAGTTTCGATATAACGAAAGCTGATAGAATATTCAATATTTTACTGAAAGATAAGCAAATTATAGTTCCGAAAAATCACAAAATTCCTCCTTTTGAACAAAGAAAAGGGAAAAAATTTTGTAAGTATCACAACATGTATGGTCATTGGACTAACAATTGTGTACGTTTCAGGGACATGATCATGAAAGCGATTACTGATGGTCGCTTGGCTTTCGAGAAGAAAGAAATGAAAGTTGATACTGATCCATTCGCTGCACAAGCAGGATATGTGGAACCTCTCCCTATGGGGATCAATGTGTCTGAAATAAATATGGTTGACCTGGTTGTGAACGAAGAGGAAGTTCTCGAATCCATTACGGATGAAAAACTAGAAGAGCTCTTAGATGAGTTCGTGAAAGAGCAGGAACCTATTTATCCCAAAGAGGGGGACAGTTTGCTCGATTTCCTTTCGAGGAAGAAAGATGATGATCGAGAAGTTATGCTTTGCACGAGATGTAGCGCTTTGTTCGATAGATCAGCGGCTAAGGCTTTCGAGGAATATGAAATTATGAAAAATTATAAAGCTGAGAAAGCTCGAGGAAAGTCGAAAGTGAACACTGGCATAGTAATGCGTCAAGTTCATATGCCACAAGGCAATGCTCCTATGGCTCCCATCGGAAAGATGGAGATGTACAACTCCTCCCGAGTTGGTAATACATACCTGCCAAATGCGCATGTTTCCATTAGGAAGTGGACTTCTCCACAAAGGCCCAATGTTGGAATGGGTCGAGGAAAGCAAATTGTGAACTACTCGAAAAACCCATTTTCTAGAGGACCCCGATTTAGGTCAAACATGCAAGGAGGTTCTGGAAGAGGAATTAAATATCCTTTTAATGGCCTTACCAAGACTCAATGGAGAATGCAACAGAGAATGAGAAAGGCAGCTTTTGAGGGACACAAAGGTAATCGATTTTCGATTCCTGTACCTTACGAAAGTGGGGTATCTAAGAAATTCGTAGAGGATGAGGAAGATTTGATCACGGATTGTTTTGAAAGTGGTTTTAAGGACTCTCTCGAAGATATTTGCGGAGTGGTATCAATCTTACCTTCCGAATATGCTGAAGCAATGGAATTTGTGAATGAACAGGAAGACATACACCGTGAAGACTTTTTCGGTGACCCCAACTATGAGTCAAAAATAGTATGGGTGAATCGAATATCTCGAGTCATTCCAAAGTTCAATTCAGCAGTGTTCGATTCACCTACCCCAGAAATGAAGGACCATCTGAAACCTTTATTGTTGACCCTTATGATCGAAGGAATTGAAGTCAACAAAGTCCTAGTGGATGGAGGTGCTGCTGTAAACATACTCCCACAGACATTGCTGAAACGTTTTGGGAAGACTTTGGCAGATCTGAAACCTCACAATATCCTTATTTCTGATTATGCTGGAAAATCTTCTCAACCAGAAGGGATGATATTGTTAAATGTGCAAATTGGTAGTGTGAGAAGGACCACCATGTTTATTGTCACTCCCTCGAAAGCTAACTTTAATGTGCTATTAGGAAGAGAATGGATCCACGGAATGGGAGCAGTACCTTCGACAGTGCACCAGAAAATATTTTTCTGGAATGATGACGAACAATTAGAAGTGTTGGATGCAGATCAGAAAGAGTATGAGACGGGAATGTATTTCGCGGATCAAAAAATTACTGCATTCGCAAGAACTAAGCCTTTCGATGCCACAGACCCAGATGTCTTGGAGGCTGAAGAGGGTGTTAAAAAGACTTTCTATTGGGATGTTCGAAGAGGATTTTTTATCCACAGAGCCGAAATTGAATCAGCTCAAGTGCGAGAATGATGAGACAAGATCCTTGTTCGAGCTTCTTAGCTCGAATTTCGGCCTACATGGCCGAGAGAACGGCCAATGAGGCCGAGGAAGGTAGTGAAGTTGAAAGAGCCCAAGGGGGCACGCATTCGATGAATATCGAAATTATAACGGCTCTGCGGGCCGACAAAAAAGAAAAAAACCAAAAAGAGGTAATCGAAACAGCTGCGAAAGGTCGCCCAGAGTAAGACTCAAGGATGAGCAGAAAAGGGATTCGAAAGGAATCAAAGAAAGACTTGATTGTGTCTTTGACGATGCTCCTCTAGGATTCGAGAAAATGGAAAATGATGGGCTTAAAGTGGAATCTCAAGATCCTCTCGAGGAAGTCAATCTGGGTACAATCGAAAAGAGGAGAATCACCTATGTTAGCAAACTAGCGGAGAAGAGTGTTAAAGAGCAAATTGTGCAGGTCCTGCACGAATATAAAGATTGCTTCGCTTGGGACTATGAAGAAATGCCTGGTTTGGATCGAAATTTGGTAGAACATAGGTTGCCTATGATTTTGGGGAAGAAACTAGTGAAACAAAACCCACGAAGGTTTGCTCCGCAGGTGATCGAAAAAATCAAAGAAGAAATCGAGAGGCTACTGAAGGCTAAATTAATTCGTACTTCGAGGTACGCTGATTGGGTATCAAACATTATGCCTGTTATAAAAAAGAATGGAAAAATGAGGGTATGAATCGATTTTCGAGATTTGAATGCAGCCACGCCTAATGATGCATATCCCATGCCTATTGCGGAAACAATGATTGATGTCATTGCAGGTAATGAAATTTTAAGTTTATTAGATGGATATTCTGGGTACAACCAGATTTATATTGCTAAAAATGATGTGTCGAAAACTGCCTTTAGGTGCCCAGGTGCCTTGGGAACTTACGAATGGGTAGTAATGCCTTTTGGCTTGAAAAATGTTGGTGCAACATATCAAAGAGCAATGAACTTAATTTTTCATGACTTGATCGAAAAATTCATGCAGGTTTATATTGATGACATAGTGATTGGATCGAAACGAAAAATAGATCACATACAACACCTGAAATTGTCTTTCGAGAGAATGAGGAAACATGGGCTGAAAATGAATCCATTGAAATGTGCTTTCGGTGTTTCAGCGGGGGATTTCCTAGGGTTCGTCGTACACCAGAAAGGCATTGAAATAGATAAGAACAAGACTCGAGCCATCATGGAAACTAAGCCTCCTTCGAATAAGAAGGAGTTGCAGTCTTTGTTAGGTAAGATAAATTTCCTTCGAAGATTTATTTCGAATTTATCAGGAAAGACTAAGGTGTTTTCCCCTTTGTTACGATTGAAAAAGGAGGAAGAATTTCGATGGGACGAAAATCATCAAAAGGCATTCGAGGAGATCAAGAATTATTTGATCAACCCTCCAGTGATGGTGCCACCCTCTGAAGGAGGAAAGCTAAAATTGTATCTCTCGGCCAATGATTCGACTATTGCGGGCATGCTGTCGCAAGATGACGAAAATGGCATCGAGAGAGCCATTTATTACATCAGTAGGATGTTAGTCGAGGCAAAAATCAGATACACTCCTTTGGAGAAGTTATGTCTGAGTTTGTATTATGCTTGTACAAAGCTGAAGCATTATATTAAACCTTATGATGTATTCGTGTTCTGTCGAAATAATGTGATTAAATATATGTTATCTAAGCCTATCCTTCACTCTCGAGTTGTGAAATGGGCTCTTGCATTGACCGAGTATTCGTTAACGTTTGTTCCCCTCAAAGCCACAAAAGGACAAGTAATCGCTGATTTTCTCGTGGATAATTCGAATTTAAATGAACAGGTTAATTATTTAACCACGAAATCATGGGAATTATTTTTCGATGGATCGAAACACGAGTTAGGAGCAGAAATCGGATTACTGATTATTTCACCGGGTGGGATTCCCACTAAATTCTCATTGAGAACGAAATCTGAATGCTCGAATAATGAAACTGAATACGAAACATTGATTACTGGGCTAAAATTGCTTAAGGACTTGGGGGCAAGGAACATAATCATTCGAGGTGACTCGCAACTCGTGATTAAACGGTTAACTCGAGAATATAAATGCATGAATAAAAAGTTACTTGAATGCAATTCTCGAGCTACAACTTTGTTAAATTCATTCGATGAGGTCCAATTAGAACATATTTCTCGTAACGAGAACGAAATTGCGAATGAACTAGCTCAGATTGCATCCAGGTACAAGATAAGCAGGGAATGTCTCGAATCTCTTGTTTGTATAAGGAATGAGTTGAGTGACGAGCACGAATGCCTCACCATTGACACCTCAACCATTCAGGACTGGAGGAAAGAGCTAATCGAATATCTGCAAAGTCCAAATTCGCAAGCTGAAAGAAAAGTGAAATATCGAGCTCTCAATTACGTGATATTGAATGATGAATTATTCAAGAGAGGTTTCGATGGAGTTTTGTTTAAGTGCCTCGGAAATCATGAGATCTACATAGCCATGGCAGAGGTACATGAAGGGATTTGTGGTTCCCATCAAGCGGGAGAGAAAATGAAATGGACTTTGTCCAGAAAAGGATATTTTTGGCCAAGTATGTTCAAAGATTGTATCGAATTCGCAAAAGGTTGTGAAGAGTGCCAGAAACATGGCCCAATACATAGAGTACCAGCAATCGAATTGCACGCGATTGTTAAGCCGTGGCCTTTTCGAGGATGGGCAATTGACATAATTGGCCAGATCCATCCTCCGTCAGCAAAAAACCATAAGTACATAATCGTGGCCATCGATTATTTTACGAAATGGGTGGAAGCGATTCCCGTAAAAGAGGTTGATTAGAAAGAGGTGATAAATTTTATTGAAGACCATATTATATTTCGATTTGGAATACCCCAGACAGTAACTACAGATCAAGGAACAGTGTTCACAGGTCGAAAAGTGGTCCAGTATGCCCAGTCAAGAGGAATCAAAATGATTACTTCGAAACCCTACTATGCACAAGCTAATGGCCAAGTTGAGGCTGCTAACAAAGTGATCATAGCTTTGATCAAAAAGCATATTTCTGGTAAACCTCGAAAGTGGCATGAAGCACTACTGCAAGTATTATGGGCTTATAGAAATTCACCTAGGAATGCCACTCAAACTACGCCATACAAGTTGGTGTATGGTCACGAAGCAATTTTGCCTATTGATATCAATTTGCAATTCGTTCACGTGCAAAGGCAAAATGAATTACCAGTCGAGGATTATTGGAACTTAATGTATGATGAACTAATTCGACTGGATGACGAAAGAATGATAGCCATGCAAAAAGTTATTCACCAGAAAGAAAAAATCGCTCGAATTTATAACAAAAAGGTTAAGAGCAAACAATTTTCGAGTGGAGACTTAGTCCTAAAAGTCATCCTCTCAATGGACCAAAAATCTCCAGATCGGGGTAAATGGACCTATAATTGGGAAGGACCGTTCATCATCGAAAGACTCTACTCGAACAATGCATACTTGATCTAAGAGTTAAATTCGAGAAATGCAAGTTAAGTGATCAACGGAAAATACTTGAAGAAATTTCATGAAAGTAGCATGTACTAAGACGAGTGTTCAAAGAGATAAGCAATAAAGGTACAAGCGGATAAATATTAAATTATAAATAGGAATCTCTCAAGTTTTCGATCACTTGCAGAATTTGGATTTGAGTGCTTCATATGCCTAGTAGGCTTGGTCGAGACTTTGCTTCCGCGAAGCACACAATACCTCCAATCTTCTCTTTTGATCCAAAGACTTTGAAAGTCTGAGAGATATGCCTTTTCCTTCATCTCGCAAACCCTTTTGCTTCAACATAATCTCTTGGCTTTGAAGCTTCAAAGCAGCATGTTTGGACTTAATCGAGTCAAGGTCTCGTTGCAGGGCAGAAATGGTACGCTCCGCATCTTCCTCAGATTGCTTGAGCTTCATCAATTCAAGAACTATCTGAGAAGTGGAATCCTTGATTGAAAGAAGTTCAGTCTTGAGCTTTTCCAATTTAGGTCGATCCTCTTCCGTATCAGCCTCGATCTGAACCATCTCCTGATTCGAAGTAGACCACTTCGTATGCAACTCGGAGGCTGCAGCAAAAGTATGAGCATATTCGTTTAGTTCTGTGGTGACCTCCAGAGGAAGATCAGGAAAGGCATTTAGATCATCAACCATCCGTTCAATCGCCAGTTTGAATTGAGGATCCATGAGAGCTTGATCGAGATGATCCACATAGGCTTTCGAACGGAAGGAAGATAATAGCGATTGAAAGCTCTCAACGGTTTCTTGGGTCTTCCTAGAAGCCGAAGTCCCGCTAGTCCAATTCTCCAAGACCTCGAAAATGTCGTCTTGGGCGGCTTCGTCATCAAAAAAGCTTATGAGGTCTATGTCATCTGGAGGAATAGAAGATAGCAGAGTGTCGGAAGGGACAACATCAGTAGAACTCACAGGTTGACCGGAAGGAGGAGTTTGTTTGTCCCCAGAAGTTACCTCAAGACCTGCACGAAAAGGATATGTCAGTGAGACAAAATATTCTTTGGTGGAATACCATGATGTCCAAGAATCACCTACCTTGCCTAGAAGAAACCCCTGTGTCAAAATTGAAGGAAGGTGCATCACCTTGCACAGGACCAGGAGGGGAAGGTTCAATAGTGGGTACGGTGACAGGAACAGTGGCCGTAAGAACATTGGAAGAAACCACCTGTTATGAAAAAGTATTGTAACAATGCACTAGTTCGAGGGCGGTCAGAAAAGTGAGAGATCGAGAGTTAACAGAACATACCTCAGGACATTCAGGAGGAGAGGCCGATTCACGAATTTCAATAACATCTTGAGAAGATGGAACAACAGTAGAAGTAGGAGCACTTCGAGGGCTCTCAGAAGAAGATTCAAACACCTCTGAATCCACCTTTTTCTAAAAAAGGCAATCATTATTAAGGATAAAATCAAATTAAAGCGGAATCAGTGCCGCCAAATTTATTGTAGCAGATACGAAAATGAGAAATTTGGAATTAAAATATCAGGGGCATTTAATTCTCGCGAGAAGCACGTGGCTATAGGGTCTTATCAGAGAAAAATGATTGAGGTATTGGAAAACATTCTTTCTCAGTTACCTTGAAACAAATGTTTTCCAGGGGGCATTTGTTAGTACCAGAAAATGAATTCGGAGACACTCGAAACACAAGGGTGCTCGAAAATCCTAGATGATTGAGAGAAGTTTCTAAAGAAGGTATACAAAGCTTGAAGAGGATCAGGAGATACGCGAAGACAGTTTTCACGAAACTCTCGAAATCCTCGAACCAGGAAGGGTGCTGCTCAGGAAAAGGGCTCACAGCCTAGCAACCTCTCAAAGTACAAGCAGAATCAGGAAACATTCAAGTATAGTTTTTGTTGGTTACTCGAAATCCCAAGAATCCGGACATATACGAATACATTTCATAACCTCTCAGAATGGAGAACTTAAAGGAGACACGAATTAGGAGCGGTTGAAGTAACATGGGATAAGTGTCAAAGGCTGCAGAACGGTTTGGGGAAGTTAACGAGCAGTTCCAAGAATTATCCAGAGACGGGCCCGGGAGCAGGCCACTACGTGAAAGTTTAGAACGGTTATGCACTTCCGGGGTGCGTCAGAAACAGTTATTTTTTCCCAAATCTTTGTCTATAAATTAAAGGAGCCATGCTCGTAGCAAAAGGTCAGAAATCTAATTCCCACAATACCTCACACACACTCCGTAGCCTGCGCATAAGGCATACTGTGCATACGAGACAGCTTTGGGTACGATTTCTCGACCACCTTTCTTTTTCCTTTTTTAGGAGTAGCATAGCATAGCATAGCATAGCATAATCTAATCTAGTGTAGTGTAGTTATTCTGAACATGTTTCGTTATCGTTACAAATTGTAATTCTGTTACCATTTAATGAAGGATATGATTTTTGCAGTCAATATACATGTCATCTGTTCGATTCACGTTAATTCTTACATGCATGAATTTGATTGTACAATTAGCATAGATCTTCTGATGTGCTGAAACAAGCATAGATCTTCTGACGTGCTAAAAACTAGCATAGATCTTTTGACGTGCTCGAAACATGAGCATAGATCTTCTGATGTACTAAAACCAGCATAGATCTTCTGAAGTGCTCGAAACAAAAGGCATAGATCTTCTGACGTGCTGAAACAACACCCTAATTTGACTCTATTCGTTGTTTATACGAATTTATTCTTTCACCGAAAGTCTTCGATTCTGTCATGTCACGAACACGCATAAATTGAAACGTGAACTCGTGCTAGTTCGAACAAAAAGAACCTACGAACGAAATCCTCCACAAACACAATGGTATAAGGGTTTTCTTGCCTGATCAATATGGACCCCTTCCCCATGATGTAGAAAGAACATGTTAACAAAATTTGAGTTTCTGGGTTTTATTAATAATTAAGGTGGGTCACAGAGAGGATGAACGATTTTTCTATCGATTTATGCATGCCAGGAAAATTTATAATACCAAATTTCAGCTTTATTTATGGGAAAAAATGTTTAGAAAAAAACTATGTGTTTAAAACAATAACTTAAATTTGTAAAAAATAAATAAATTTATTTAAAAAATTAAGTTGTCTTTATGAAATTAAAAATTTGAAATTTATAATTATTTTTTAATTTTTTAAACTGATTTATTACATAAAATTAATTTTTATTGTATCATAATAAAATTATACATTTTAAAAGTGTTTATTAGTAAATTTATTTAAACAAAACCTCATTTTGATCATAAAAAATTATAATAATAATCAATTATGCATATAATTAATTATTAAAATAATCAAATTTTCACGGCTTTTTCAGAGTCCCTCATCACCTCATGGTATGAATAAATGATGGAAAACACCAAAGAGAATGAGAGAGAGAAAGAGACCGTGCCAAGTGAAATACTTAGCATGCCTTTGTTCACGCCTAACAAAGTTATTAATAAGAGTTAGGTGGAGGCTTAAAATGCATCAATTTCATAAGTGAAAGTTTCACATTACAAAATTACAATAATTCAATCTCATAATTCCAAACGAAAGTAAATAACTTAAAATACATAAATATTATTGGTCAAATAAATGCTAGAAAATTAATAAAATTAAATACAAAATAATTATATAACATGATTAAAATATATTGGTACATTAATAAAAATAACTTTTGTAAGAAAATAAGATGAGAGAGTGTAATTTTAGGGTTATGTGGTACAAAGGGGTAGCTATACGGACCGATCCGGCCCATTTAAGGCCCGGTCTGTAAAACCCGCATTTTATACGGGCCGGATAAGTCCGGTCAGTAAAATAAATGGACTTACTTTTTAAGTCCGTATCCGGCCTGCCAAAATCCGCGGATAACAGACCAGTCCGCGGGCCTAAATAATGGTTCTAAAAAATAAATTTTTAAAAAATAAAAATACATAAAATTAGAAGAATTTTTTTTTATTTTTATTTATAAGCTAAATTTTATCATACTAAAATTTATCAATAGTTAAAATGGTTTGAAATATTAAATATTAAAATATTAAAATATTAAAATAAAAATAATTACAAATACTTAAATAATAGTACCAAACTTTCAATAATAAAAGAATCAAAATGTCATAAAAGTAATTCAAATAACAAATACTTACCAACTAGACATAATTTTAATGTCATAATAATTTAAAAAATTAAATACACAACTTAATATTAAAATCATAATATTTAAAAATATTAATTAGTAAAGTCCGCGGACTAGCCCGCGAGCCCGCGGATTAAATCCGCCGTCAGCGGATTTCACGGGCCGGGCTCAAAAATTAGACATAGTCATACGTATTTGAAAAAAACAGGTCCGTTATCCGCGAAATCCGCGGACTTACGGACCGGTCCGCGGACCCGGGTCCGTCTACCCACCCCTAGGTACAATGATATTGAGATATTTAAAAAATATTATTAATCGGGTATCCGCGGGTATGGATATCATCATACCCGCCTCTGCCCCATTTATAAATAGGTAAAAAATTATTCGTTCCCATTATCTACGGGTACCTAATTAACTTATCTATTTATTATCCATATCAAATTTTACCTACAAATACCTACGGATGTAAGTATTTTTACCATCCCTAATAATAATCAATTATGCATATAATTAACTACTAAAATAATTAAATTTTCGCGGCCTTTTCAGAGCCCCTCATGATATGAATAAATGATGGGAAGTAGCAAAGAGAATGAAAGAGAGAGAAAGAGACGGTCTCAAGTCGAATACTTGGCATGCCTTTGTTCACCCCTAACAAAATTATTAATAAGAGTTTGGTGGAGGTTTTCGTGGGAAGGCTTAGACCGTCTCTCACAATAAGAAACTTATTTTAATGGCTTTTTGACCAAAGTGGGGTCGTTGACCAAGTTATTTACCTAAATGGGGCTATTTTGAATTTATTTACGGCGTTGGGGCTGTTTACAACGGTGTCGCTATGGCCCATAGCGACACCCATGC